ACGTACGATGTAATCGCACGAGCGAAATAAAAGAAGAATCGTATGTACCTAGAATATTTTTCCACGGAAACAATCCGTTTTAAGTGATAAACAAAATAAAGATCTTTTTTACTGTATACGTATACGCGTACATGCGCACACATGCACACATATATACGTCGTTTACTTTGAAGCGAGATCATTTACCGTGAAACGTATATCGTGGTTGTTTTTATAAAACCATCCTATGTGACAAAATCATAATTCTTCTCGAGAGAGATAAAAAACGAATATTATAATGATATTACAATGTTGCTGCAAAGTATTCAATATGTCATTTTTTTCTTGCAAACGATTCCACAATTCCATCACACACAGGACAGATTTGATAAAAATAAAAGGTAACGAGGGTAGTCCGTATCTCATTCTCTCGCGAATAAATTTCAATGATAAAAATGGTATTTTCGTTGAGTCTATCTTTAATACATTTGAAATATAATTCAAAATCCTATACCGTTATATTTTTTTCAAAAAACCGCATAGCTGTAAATAGACTATACGTTAAATAATTTAATTTTAACGTTACCTCTGAGATGCATTTATCGTGAGCAATATGATATAATTAGGGCATTATTTATTCCAACTAATATGGCAATTACATAATTAAAATAATCGTTAAATTTATTTGCGGAAAAAAGTAAAATCATATATTTCCTGAACGGTCTATTATCATTTTGGCCAAAAATAATAAAGGAAAATGTTATAGATCATATTTACTTTTAGAGTATTTTCGCAAAAATACTTGGTCTGTTTAATATGAGAAAATGGATACGCAACCTTTGCTAGATTCTTAGAAAGTTAATTAAGATCAGTGCGGTATTGAACGTGCTATTAATTATAACCGATGAGGCTAAGACGTCGCGATATGTTTTCCGACGTCTGAGTCTTGACACATTTAACTACTTGTTAGAGAATATTCTCATATCTTCCAGATTTACTTGTATACTAAATAATAATGCGAAAACTCCAAAGCAAATTTATTACGAGAAAAATTCGGTTTACGACAATAGAATATTAATTTTACAATCCATCCTTTATATTCGAGTTTCCAATATCGAATATCTCGTACAACCCCGCATAAGCACAGGAAAGAAGAGATATGTACCGTGTATTAATTTCGCAACTATATATCTCTGTTATATTGTAAGCAATTTTAGATAACTTGATTTCCAATAAGTTTCCAAATTCTTTTCCATTCTATAATCGAGCGAGCAAGATCTTTCTTTGCAACGATATATTTTTAAAATCCCGACTCTTCCCGATTGAAATTCCAAATCTGAAACATCACTGAATTTTCGTCAAGGATCCATTTCCGATTTGCCTTTGTCCCATTAGCTATTTTTCTTGGGCGATTTCTCTCGCACGTGCGATGTATCGATCGCGCTGCACCCGGATTATAACGGCGCGACGGTATATTTAATACAACACAAAGTACCTAATAAGCGCTGATTTATCATTGTCACGGCCGTTACTCTTTCATGCGAGTATAGTAAGTTACAATCGGCGACTCTGTCGCAATCCGAGCGCGGTCCGCTCTCGGTGCAAGTGGTTATATTTGTAAAGTATTCGTATATACACACTCTTCTTTCCCTGTGGTCTCGTGCAGGCCAAGTATGTACGCGGAAAAGAAACGACTTGCACTCGGCCGACTGCCAGATCGCTATATTTATCACAACGTGCCGATTACACCTGTAAAAAGTTCTGTGGGAACAGAGAGAGAGAGAGAGAGGGCATGATGCCCCGTATAGTATCTATCAATCACAGGAATAAAACCATCCCACACACGAGTGTACGTTCATCTCTCGCAAATATCCATAAAATAAATTTTATTTTAAATGCTACATCAATTTATAATAAAGCTCGTTTTTTTATATATTAAAGTGTTGGTTATATAACTCGCGCCGATATCAATTTATTTATATATTTATCGATTAGAGATAATAATTATATAGCTATAATAGAAGTGAGAAAATAACGTGGGGAGTCCTCTAGGTAACTTTTAAGTAAACATGCTTGGTTTAGATGTGTGAAACGTAGAAATGATGGCGCGATAAGTTTAATGGATCAAATTTTAAATTTAAAAATTTCATCGATAACGTTTCATCGAAGATGTGCTCAAGTTTTTGTTTTAAATTTCAGATAAATGCTAAGATGATTAAAATTAATTATCATTTCTGAATTTAAAATTTTAAAATTAATATTTCTTCGAATGATTTTAATGTATTGAAAAAAGCGAATTATTTTTATGTTAATGACTTTTGACTCTTATTCATAATGATATTGAATAACGTCAAAATGGATTTTTAATATTCTTTAATGTTTTGATATTACTGAATATCATTACTCTATTTATAATAAGAGTATAAACATTATTAACATAAAAACATTTTAATTTTCCCAACATTTTAAAAATGTCTAAAAAACATTAATTTTAAAATTTAAGCTGAGATTTTCAGACACTGAATAAGTCACAAGAGAAAGAGAGAGAGAAAAAAGCAAGAAAAAATAGGATAGAGACGTAGCTTGACGTCATAATTTTCATGTGGCCACCGATCGATGCGTCCAGGTGAATTGTGATTTAATTGGCAGACGGAAAATAATCGCGGCAAAGTGGATCACCGCGATTGTCTAGGCGAAATAATAACAACGATATTCTCGTCGTCTACGTCACGGCTGTGACGTAAGTAGATATCGGGCACAAATGGTGACGATCGTTTGGAAATATTGGACGACTGCGAGGTGGTGATAACCCAAATCGTCCTATAATAGCGTTCAATTATTTATCTGTCGTTCGTCGATTCACCGCAATTGGCACAAAGAAAACGAATCATAATTATCGATAATAAAATATTGCGCAAGATATTCGTCGTCGTTTTCAAATAAAAAAATGTCGAATAATATTCGTGATAAAAGTTGATGTTTTAAATCTCGAGCGAAATAGGTAAACGAGCTTATGACGTGTCATTGTCCAGAGTAATATAAAATTATTAAAATAAACTCGAAGCGGTTCGTATTAATAAAACCTGTCTAACGTAAATGATGCACGAATTCTTTCATTACGATCAAATTAAAACGCGCGCAGGAGATTGTAGAATTGTATTCATCAAAATTATATTCATTCGATAAATTGCTGGAATCGAAAATTAAATAGAGCATAAGACTGTGTGACCTAAATGCCGAACAATGCTCCGTAAATATTTGAACAATTAATATTATTTGTAAAATGTAAATATATATATGTATATGTAAAATACTTTAATTGTATCACACTTAATCGCATGTAATACTGTAAATCGAAATCGAAAAAATTAATCGATGAGAATAATTTTATTATATTAAATATTAATAACACGTATCATCATTTTCTGAGTTTAACAATTTATATTAATAAATATTTACCAGTTGTATTAGAAAAAATTATTAAATTCTTTAATTCACCCGATTACTTTTTAAATTCCTACGATTTTAAAAATAAATCGAATTTTCTCACGAGAATAAATATAAAATAAAGATAAAATCAGATTTAATGTTCTATACATCATGTAAAGATGACTTTCATGAAATATGCATAATGTGCTCTTCCCGCTTTTATCGGATTCGCAACCTTAATGCTTCGTAGTTTCATGATATGTGCGCTAATTGAGGTCAGACTATAAAATCGGTATCGTGATCGAGAAAATGCGCTAAAAAAGCTCTCGTGGACGATCGCAATTTGGCACCCTCAGCGCAGCCAAGCACCACCACCGTCATCATCACCACCACCACCACCACCATCACCACCATCACCACCGTCACCATAACCACCGGTTTAAATCCGGGGTAAATCCGCTCGCGGGATAACTCTTGCGTGCGTCCGGTTTGTCAGACTTACACTTGTTCCAATGATCGTGGCGTTGCGCCGAGGCGTGATGCTCGAGATTCCGATGATGATCGTGATTGTTGTTGGTGTCCGCGGCAATGGTGACCTGGTGGTACGGCGTGGTAGCGGCGGTCAAATGGATCGGCGCCGCCGCCGATCGCTCCTGCTGCTGCTGCTCGACGCCCAGATGTTGGTGCCGGGCGACGGCGACGGCGGTGGCGGCGCCGCGGTGCTGCGAATGCTGCGGATGATGATGATGATGATGATGATGATGGTGATGGTGATGGTGCGCCGCGACGCCGACGGTCGCTTCCGCGTTGCCGGTGCTGTCCTCGACCGTGGTGAGCATCGCGCTTCGTTCAATCGCGACGGGCTGCTCGTCGGGTGACCGCCGATCGCGGTTGCCGTGGCATCCCGGCCGGTGGATCGCGATCGGAGATACGCGGTATAAAACGATCTATATAGATCGAGTGACGTTAGAGGTTCGAGCGAGTTCCGATACACGTGGACATCGAGGATCTAGATTTCTTTAGGAGAGAGATCCGACGATTCTCGATTTGATGTATGTATATGGATGATCGGAGAAGTCTATTCGATCGATGGGATTTTTCGCGCCGATCGGTTGTCAGAAATCGCATCGGGAAAGTGTAATGCGAAAAGCTGGCATTCAGCACATCGGTACATCCCTTTAATGAAGCATGCGCGCCGCGCCGTCTGGCGGGTGGACAGCAGGAGGGAAGGAGAGATAGAGAGAGAGTGTACTAAGTAGAAACTATGACAAATGGTCAGACTGAAAATTTCGAAGCGACGAATTTCTCTATTCGATCCTCGGTAATTAAAAGAGAAATATATTCGAAAACCCAATAAGGGATGAGGAAGGAAAAACGAAGAGAGAACTAGGGAATTGGAGCAGATATATAAATGAGGTCGAACGAGGAGGACCTCCCGCCGTGAATCGGGGGAAAAACGTGCTCCCGCTTCGCGATCCTCGCACATGTACACAGACACAAAAATACACAGGAGCAGAGGCGCCAGAGTCTCCTCCCGCGCAAACAAGGAAATGAACGAATGTGAGAGCAGCGCACGTGATGTGATCACCGACCTGCGTGCGTCGTCGTAGGGCAAGACAGGTCCTTCCGGATGATGTTGTCGGAGGTCAGCACCCCACCGAGGAGCCCGAATACTTCCGCTCTGGGCACTCGCATGCAGAATCCTGGAGACCTTCTTCGTCGCTTATCGCGACATCGTTGCTCTTCCTGTCAAAACTGATCCTCGAATGGCGCTGTTGGATCCCGGTCGAAGAAGGCCGCCGACAATCGCGGCTACCATTCAGCACTGATCGGCCGATCGACGGATCTGTCACTCCGGGGGATCACCGACCGCGACGATCGAACCACGCGACACGAGATCGCACAGGTGTCCGAAGGTACGAGAACCAACCCTCTCGTACTAATCGATCTTAATCGCGTGAAATAAATCGACGGTGCTCAGCGTCGATCGGAGCCGAGCGGAGCGTCGAGTAGAGAAAGAAAAAATGAATCGAAGACAGGTGAAAGAGCCTGTGTGTTAGGAGAAGTGAAACCTTCGGTTACCCTGGAGAGAGCGGTACACTCGCACGGGTGGCCGGCTGCCGCGTAACTGAGTCCGGATCGCGCGCGTTCCTCCGCTATATTAAAACCGTACCGTGTGTAGCGGCAAACTCGGCGCACGGGAGAGAGAGAAGAACGGAAGGCACCGCACGGCGACGGGAGGCGAGCGGCGCCAACGATGACGTCATCGCGGACGTCATAACCCGGGATGCGCACACACGGCCGCGGCAATCTCGCCGAGCGGATCGATGGACCAGGCCTGAGTGTGAGCGCACCTATTGGCCCACGCGGTTGATGATGCCGTTACAGTGACGTCAGCGCGCCACTCGCCCGCACCCTCTCTTTTTCAACCCCACGCAAACCTCGAGGCGGCACGCGAACCCGCCGCATCCCTCGAAATCAAGAGCGAGGAAAAAAGAATGGAAAGACAGAGAGAGGACCCGGATTTCAAATTCGTTGGAGGATTCTTCCGCTTCCACGTTTTCTTTTGATGTTCGCGGGTTTTTATGAACGTGACATAATTATGTTACACGATTACGGTGTTATTTCTTTTATATGCTATGCTCCGATAGATTTTATATATACTTTATTATATCTGAATGAAATATGTGTATGAGTGTGCGCTATGATTATTGTATGATATTACAACGTACATTACGTTACGTAAATTCTCTTTGATATATTACGATATTATACGTTGAAATCCTTTCTATCAAAGCGATTTTTGCTCCTTTTTTTCGCTCGCTCTCTTTCAGATATTTATGTGAATTTTTTTTTTATTGACGCGCTGTGTGATTATATAATAGGACAATATTTGATTTCTTATTTTTGAATAAAATAAAAAATATATTCTCTATATATATCTTTTGAAACAAATTATTTTAATTTATTTATTTAATTGTGCGATATAAGAAATATCAAAAACTCTCGGATATAAAAATCCCTCGGATTTCAACTCGTCAGTTTAATAAGAAAATTGACAAACTGAATATTAAATCTATAATTAAACGTGAAATTAATATCCACTATGGTAACCATAAAATAACCATGCATGAGAAATTACTCGATTGAATGACGATGATTGTGCAATGCGTGGCAAGTGTTAACGAAGCATTATCATCTGTTTCATCCTTTGTCATAAATAATATTAATAAGATCGATATGACGGAGCGGACTTACATCGCTTATAGCCGGTTTTGTAATATCGATGAGAAAAGACTGCGATAGCCGACACTCATTACTCGTGCATGCAGCGATATAACGGAATGCATCGGTGGCGCGCAGACCTGCTGTCGTTATTAATCTACGACCTAAGAATGCGCAATCCATCTGACCTCGTAATGTAATCAAACGCGATAGCTGACAGTTTTCGTGTAAGAATGCGATGATAACTCATTATTTTATTTTGTCCGTCCCTCCCATTAATAATTATCGTAAATCTAGGAAAATTCCCATGGTAATGTAAATTCCCCTTATGAATTGCATGATGTTGATTTTTATAAGATAACAGATCAAGAGGATTATATATGTGTCTTTGTACTTCGGCTTGTAAAAATTGTAGACTTTAATTTCCTCTTTTTAATTCTTGCTGAAATAGACACTTTTAAAGCTTGCATATATAATAAAAATTAAATAAAGGTACAGGACGAATGAATGTATTTTTTATTAGTTTGGCAAAAAACGTCAAATGAAAATCCCAACAAATACAACTCCTCACCGCGTATAAGAGAAATGATGCTCCAAGTTAAAATCGCATGATTTTAATAGGTAGTTCCATTTTCATAAATTCCACATGAATATACCGAGAAAATACAATTAAAAGTTTATAAAGCATCGCACTGGGAATAATCTCGGTGTCGCAGTGTCCGGATTCTCTCGCTTTCTCGTCTCTCATTGTTCCAGATTGCCTTTCGAGAAATCCACTCGCGCAGACTCGATCATTCGGAACAAGCGGTTTAATACGTCATCAATTGATCCACGGCGTCAGACTGAAACAATGACGTTGTCGTTTGCCCCCACCGCGGCCGGCTATGACGATATGCCTACGCCACTCTTATCGCTTCTGCGCGCGTGGGTCAGCCGCGACGAGGAGGGGTTGTTACCGAGAAAGGGAAGAAAGAGTGAGAGAGAAGAGGGACGCCGCTTTTCCATAGTCGATTTCCACCACCGCCACGCGGCCTCCATTCATGCATCACCCGATACACCCCGCGCGACCATCCAACCCCTTTGCATCCCTTTTGCACGCGGTGCACGCGTGGCAAAGCGGAGGCGTCAGCACGGGTTGATGTCGCCCCGGTTTAATCGGCCATAAGACTGGGCACTTCGACACGTGACGAAACCACTGAAAGCTCGCCTGGCGTGCCATCACCTGCGATGAAACGCCCGCTGATCCGGAAGAACGGCGACTTGAGGTGTAAGGTCGACTTCGATCCGATCGCGATAGGGTGGAGAATCGGTCACACGCTTTCTTATTCGTTCGCCTCGAAACCCGAGTACTCCAAGCGAGCATTCTTGCTTGTCCAAGGACAGCGTCACCCTCATGAATATTTATGCAATCCCTCGGTTACGTAAAAATTCAATTATATCTCTTCGTTTTTAATTATGCTCTGATAATAATTCAGATTCAATGTATCGAATGGAAATCTGTGTATATATTACACAATATTATATATCTATATGCAGGGTATTTTTAGATAAATGTGAAAAATTTTAGGGGGTGATTCTTTTGTCGAGACAAGTTTTTTATATAAACGTATATTCTAAAAATAAGAAAAAATTAAATAGGGATTGTTGAAGGAGGAATATAAAAGTATACGTTTATATAAGAAACCCTTCTTAATTTTCGACAAAGAATTTCCCTAAAATTCTTCGCACTTATTCAAATACACTCTATACATAGATAGAGACAGCTACATGGATAGATTTATTATACCTATAGCGCTATATATCCCACAAATGATTGTGAAAGCGTAATCGACAATGCGAAAAAAAGCAAGGTACAACGCACTATAACAAGAGAATCGACTGACATTCACGATAATCCAACGAGCGCGATTATCGCAATTGATCGTGTCGTGAGATGTACATAAATGTCTGTAATAAGATAAAGGCGAATAAAGTCATTTGCCGGCGGCGAAATCGTGTTGATTTCGACAAGACAACGTTCGACGATGAACGCGTATCGTCTTGATTAAAAGCGCGTAGATAATAGTAATATCTTTTTCCCCCGATCGACTTCCTATCGGCAAACAAATGTACGCGATAATATGGACGTGTCTAAATAATTTGAGCTGCGGTAATATCGTGTCGGCAAATCGTGATCATTCATCCGATAGAATTTATAATTGAAATTATCCGCTCTTTACTAACGTTATTTCGTTTTATACAATAAATCGTGCGTCGCTCGTTACAATCGCGACATTCATTACGTCAGTAGGTCTTTCTGACATTAATGACGAAGCGTGCAGAACGTGCAATATTCTGGCGCCACCTTGATTAATTAGCAAGCTTGATTAATTAACAATTGCGGCAGAGAAAGAAAGAGAGAGAGAGAGAGATAATAGTTTCGAAATGAATTATCGAGTCCTCGTGTTGCGCCCCGGGTAATCTCAATTTTTTAAGACTACCGTCGAGATAAGAACGTTTGATAGTAAATGTGTCTTTTTATGTTAATACGTCATTTATTATTGTTTTATCACTGAACTGACCTCACTTACGAAATAAAGAACTGGAGAGCACACGTGTTAAGATATTTCGAGTATCGGAAGGTTAAAGGTATTTGCCCGTATCTGATAGGTAAAATAAAAATAGCTAGAGCCAAGAATGAATCTATAATAGATTCCGTTTTACTGAATTATTTAATATTTACAAGGGTCAAAAAGTAACATTAATGTATCAATCACGCGGTAATGACCGAAGCGAATGAAAAAAAAATTGAATTGTATTATCATAAAATGTATTTCTATTTGTAAATTACGATATAACGCTGTATTAATGAACGTGCAGAGTAAATATTTTACAGTGCAATAGAAAGCAATTTTATTTCAGTTTCGTTTAAAAAGAAAGTTCAGCTACATGTCTGTTATTCGAATATAATTTCATAAATTTATAACTTTATTACAATACGCTTTGTGATCGAATTAAAATATTACGCGAAATTTTTTCCCCGAAAAGTATATTTTGCACTTAAATAAAAATAAAATATTATACATATATAATTATTATGCGTCTCTTAATATACTCGCTATAAGAAAATCCTGAATATTCGTCGATTCTGCTATTTTATACATACATATATAGACATATATAGACTAATAATAAATAATAATAATTAGTTATAAAATAATATATATAATCAATAATTATTATTATTTTATGAAATAGAGATTAAAACTAATAAAAAAACTGATAGAAACCCAAGTTTTTGTATCTCACTATTTATATTCTTGAAAATTAATATATAAAATCTCTTATCTTCAATGTTAAAGAACTCCGCATCTATAGATATCTCGGCATTAAAACAAGAACGTTATTTTTTTATACATTGACCTCTATATGTTAAAAGAATACTTGAGAAATATACTCTGCATATTTCTATTTATACAAGTAATGTCATTCAAAAATGAATCACCGAGCTGCATGTAAGGTTAAAGTGAAAATGTGACAAAATGTCGCAATAACTTTTAAAAAAAGTATTCAAAAGTCTAAAAAAATATGATACATCAAAAGCGTAACTTTTTGTATGATATACTTATTTATGCAATTGAGATTGAAATTGAGAAACGTCGGATAAAACTTGTAGCTCTCTGGAAATTGTTATCCAATTCGCGCATCTTCGACGAACTGCATCTTCTCCAGCGGATAATTTGTTCTCATTACTCGATGTGAACTGTTTAATGATTTTTTAATAAACTTCCGGGCACTCTTTGTGCCACGTTCTGAAGATCGTTGTACCGTGTACGCACCAGAACCAACGCGGCGCATAATCTTTTATTACACTGTGTGATGACCTTTCCTTCGTGAGCTAGTAAAATGCGCTCTATCAGTATATATAAA